TGCATCGCTGTCTTTTCTGCAGAGTAATAAGCTGATTCACACATGAACATGCAGGCATGTAGGCTGTGGCTTGGAATAAAGACGAACTTGTGGTTTTGCTCCTAGTATTTTCAAGTGTTGATGAGCTCTAAGTTCTCCGTGTCCCTCTAGTAGCTCACCTTTTGGTATCTTCAGTGAACTTTTATCAGAGTGCCTGGGTTTGGTTCCCAGCTCTGGCTCCCACATCCAGCTTCCTGCCAATGCAAGTGCTAAGAGGAAGTAGGTGATGGGATCCTTGCCATCTTGTGGGATACCTAGATTGAGTTCCTGGCCAGCCCAGCTCTGGTTACTCTGGGCATGTTGAGGGTCTGGGAGTGAGACAGCTTATCTCTGCCTCTGTATCTCTTCCTCTCCTACCTATCTGCTTCTCAAATATAACTCTCTTTACACAACACTTCAGAAGATTTATGGAAGATTAGAAGATTTATGGTTAGAAGATTAAAAAGTTTACGGAATTAGAAGATAAGTTTACTTTGGGATGGGGGCTGTGGCATTGTGAGTTGAGCCTCTGCCTGCAGTGCTGGTATTCCATATGGATACCAGTTCAAGCCCTTGCCACACCAACTCTGATCCAGCTTCTTGCTAATGTACATAAGGAAGCAGCAGAGAAGGGTCCAAGTACTTGGGCTCCTGCACCTATGTGGGAGACCTGAAATAAACTCCTGGCTACAGACCAGCACAATTCCAGCTGTTGTAGCCATTTAAGGAGTGAAACAGCAGATACAAGATCTCTCTCTCTCTCTCTCTCTCTCTCTCTCTCTCCTCTATCTGTAACTCTGCTTTTCAAATAAAAATAAATCTCAAAAGATGAAGACACAAAAGAAGAAAAGTCTACTTTGGCACAGAAATTCTCATAATCATAATGTATGTTTCCACGGCTTCTTCAGGACGCCTGTTTATATATTTTTCCTGACCTGTATGAAGGACTCAGGGCTGAGGGTGACGCTCAGAGGGCCCAGATGTTAATCCTGGAGTTGGCATTCATTCTTTGGGAGACTATGCCGAATAGCCCCTGGCTGAAATTGGTCAAGTTTTCTTTGCCCCTTGATTTCATGGTTTGTAAGCAGTTTTCAAGATTACTTTGGGATTCACCATGCTCCGTCTTGGGTTCTGCCATAAAGTTACAGATATGGTACCTGAGCCCTTGGGGTCCCGTGTCACCCTGTGCTCCATCTTTCCTGTGCAGATGGTGTCAGGAGCTTAGGCTGTGGATGCTGCTTGGCCCAAGGGTGCCATAACTGCTGTGTGTTTCCACAGTCATTGTGGCTTGGGCATGGCTTCTGGATGCTGCAGCCTGCTCAAGATCAAGTCATTTGTTCCGGAGTAAGGGGTCTTATTCAAACAAAAACACTTTGATTTGCACATTACCCTCTGATCATTTGAGCAGCCCCTTTTGATTGCTTAGCATGGCCAACAGGCCCAGGTCTGGCTCAGCCACTCTTGGCTGCACCTGAGTGTGGAGTTGCTGTCTCCACTAATGAGACAAGGAAGAAGCAGGATCCTTTTCCCCCAGTCTAAGATGACACAAGCCCAGGTCAGGCAGTGCTGATGTGGGAGCCGTCTGTTCATTCAGCATCAGAGGAGGGTCTTCTGTGTGCCTGGCATGACGGGAAGTCCCAGCGTGTTGAGAGCAGGACAGTCACACCTGGTTGCTGGTTCTGGCGGCTGCCTGTGGCCGGAAGTGGGGAGGACCAGACTGGACCAGGGGAATAAGCTGGGAGGCAGCTGCTCAGGTTCAGGGAGGAGTACCTGGGTGGAGCTGCTGGTGTGAGTGGCAGTGAGCAGGACACACACAGGCCTTTGCCAGCTGCCTGTGCTGTTTATTCTCAGGCCCTGGTCCCTTTGAGCCATGAGCCTATCCTTCTCCAAGTGTGCCAGGTCCTGCCCAGTACAGCAGTTACTCTACCTGGAATGCTCTCCTCTTTGCTCCCCAGTCGTGGCAGCTCAGCCACTGCTGAGCCCGTGACCCCAGCAACCTGGGGCAAGTGACTAGATCCTTCTTGGGTCACAGTCTTTCTGTTGCTGTTAGGAAGTACTTAATCATTTGGAAAGCAGAGTTTCAGAGAGAGAGAGAGAGAAAATATTTTCCATGCCATGGTTTGCTCCTCAAATAGCTGCAAAAGCCAAAGCTGGCTCAGGCTAAAATCAGGAACCTGGGATGCCATTCAGGTCTCCCATACGGTGGCAGGGGCCCAAGGACCTAGACATCTTCTACTGCTTTCCTATGCACAATATCAGGAAGCTGGATCAAAAGTGGAGCAGTCAGAACTCAAATTGGCACCCCACATTGGAGTCTGGGGTTGGAGGTGGCAGCTTAACCACTGTGCTACAATACAACCACCAGCCTCAATCTTGTGATGTACGAAAGATGATGAATGAGTCTGCTTTATGGCTCTGTGGGGATGAAATGGTGCAGGCTTGAGTGCGAACCTTGTCAGAGCCTCCAAAGCAGCCTTATCCCACTACCCCCTGCGTTCTGCCCAGGAGCCCTGTGATGATGGGATCAGCTCAGGACAGTCCTCTGCTCAGTCCTCTCCACAGCAACTTCCTGTCTTGCAGGGAGGAAAAGCTGAATGTTCGTGTGGGCCACAGAGCCTCCTGGGGCATCTTGGACCTCACCTCCCACCTTAGGGCCAATATGTATGGTTGTTGGCGCTGGGTTCTGTGCAGCTCAGTGTGGGGCGTGTCAGTGGTGCCTCTGACGTAGGCAGTGCACAGTTGAGGCAGTTATCCGCACTGGTCGTGCCTGCTCCGCTCCAGCAATAACAGAATCCTTCCTATTCTTCAGATAGCTGCTTGTTCCAGCTCTTCCTGTTGGCTGCCCACTGCCTGGGCCCAGGAGTCTGTTTGCCTGTTCGTTCACCTTCTTCAAGTCTCCTCTTAAATATCGCCCTGTTTGCAAATGTGCCACCAAGTTCACCAGCCCCATGTGTCTCCTCTCCTCCCTTTCTGATTTATTTTCCCTCTTAGCATGTTGACTGCTAACACACTACACCCCTTACTGTGTGACCACAGGAAGTCACGTTTCTTTTGTTCAGTGATGTGTTTGCAGGGTCTAGCTAAGTTTCTGGCAATAAAGACTCAGTAATGGAGTGAGTTCGTCTCAAAGCAGGTCAGGTGCTGACAGAACACGAGGCAGCCATGAGCACCAGCAGATGCTGGCCACCATTGTGTTGCCGTGCTTGCTGGTTAGCCCTCAGGAATCAGCTCGCATGTGGCTTCCTCTATGCCTTCTCCATCCCCTTCTCAGGCTGGGTGAAACACGCTGCCAACTCTGTCCTCTGCTCTCTTTGCTCCGGGCCTTCCTCCTCTGGTTGGTGTCTATCACTCTGTGGCAGGGTTTATCTCATGCTTTCCTCCACTCTAATCTGGATTCCTGCAGACCAAAGAGTGGCCCACTGAGATTTGTACCTCAGGTGCCCAGCGCCCACCACCCCTTGGCACAGAGTAGGAGCTTGGGAAGTGCTTGTTGCTGGCAGGCAGGATGCTCTGGAGCCCATGAGGACCACTTCAGGGTCTCTATGTCCAGTCTCACTGTGGAATGTTTGTTCCCTGATGGTGATGAGCACCAGAATAGCATACTCCAATGGTATACTTCATGGTGAATTTTGGGAAGAAGAGTCCATCGGATGCAGCATGTGTTGGCTGCATCTCTCCCTCTGGCCACTCCAGCTCAAGAAGTTGTGGTCTTCCAGAGACCTGGTGTGAGACCCATGTGTTTGGAAGTTAACAAGGGAGAAGGAGAGCAGAAGAAGAGGGTTGAGTTGGTCCTTAAGGAGTTTGGGGGGATACTTCTTCTTGGGTTGCTGTCAGGAAAAGAACAGCCCTGCCCAACTGGGGAAGAGGAGTAGTGCCCAATGAGACATATGGAAGTAGGTGGTTTGGAACCACAAAAGGGAGGACCCTAAATGCCAGGGCAGTGATGGTGACCTCTTGTATTTGGCAGGAGAGGTCCACACTAGAGGCTGTGATGGGGAGTGAGGAGGATAGGAATCCAGGGGACCTGGGAGTCAGGAAGATTGTTCTTGCATCTTCTCTTCCAGAAGAAGGGCTGTCCCTGGAACCTACATGTGGCTCCCAGTGGTCGTGCTCTGGGAGATCAGTATTGACAGCTGCAGGGTGGCAGTGTGGAATGATTGCATCTGGGACCTAAACCGACAGGTGCCGGGAACAGAGGAGTTGAAGTCCTCAGCTAAGATGCTCAGTCTCTTGGAGTTCAGGTGAGAGGGTGAACAAACCTAATCTGTCCTGCCCTGGGTTGGGATCAGTCACAGAGACTTGGGAAGGATTGAGCAGCCAAGTGGAAGTGCTGTGGTCACGTCGTGGAGATTGTTCTCCTAGCCCAGGAGTGATTGGTCCTACAAACTGAAGGAGGACTCCTCCTATTCCCCTTTCCTGCACCAGGACAGAATTCCTGGGAGGATCTGGGTTTTATAGAGCCTTCCTATCTCCCATCCCAAGGCAGGCCTTGATCTGTGCCTGGCTTCTCATTATCCTGTGGCTCCTGCCATTGCTCTTCCGTTGTCTGAGATTTCCTGTCAGCTTCCCCTTCACTTTTTTTGCATCTGACCGCAAACCCTGGGCCTAACCTGCCTTGGCCAGAGCAGACCACTGGGGTCATTCCTGCCATTCCCAGCCTCTTCACTCTTGGTGTTGCTGGCTCAGCCTTCCTCTCTGTGGCCCCCTAGCTTTCCCCATGCACACTTCAGATGGCTGCATAATGTTCTATCAAGGGAATGTCTTCAGTAGGCCGTCAGCTTGTTAGGGTGCTTCTAGGTTGCATCTTATTTTTGCCCTTTCGGCTAATGCTACATTAAGCCTTCACTATGTATTACAGAATCATTTCATTAAGTTAGCGTTTATCTAGCTAATGGCAGTGGCCCAAGATTCAATAGAGAATCAGAGTTTCTTTCTTCTTCTTTTTTTTTTTAAGAATGTTGTAAAGCTATATTAAAAATGTATTTCAAGTACAGAGAAGAAGTCTTTTTTGTGTTCTTCGTGAATGAAGAGGCAGGGTAACAATAATGTGAAATTAGATGGAAGCAGAAGGCTGCATGTATACAAGCAGTCCGCATCTTGTCTGTTCCAGAATGTGTGCAGAGGAGCCAGTGCTGCCTCATAAGGAGCCATCTACCTGTGCGGACTGAACAGTTCTGGTTCCCTGCATCTGACGCTTTGATTAAAATCATGACGAAACAAGCTGTGATCCTTCTTACAGGTGGTTTTTAAAGTGCCCTAACACAAGGAAAAGTAAATAGGATTTCTGAGAAAAGAAGCAAAACAAAATGAAATGAAATGTGTCTCCTTAAGCAACAGCGAGCCTGTTGGGAGGTGCCGTTGGCACTGGCAGCGGGCTGCACGATTGCTGCAAGGATCCGGCTTTTTGTTGACTGTTTGAAAATGGGTAGAATGAAGCTGACAGCCAGGTGTGGCCAGTGTGGTTGCTGCTCTTTTGGAGCCTCCGATCTGGGTTGGCTGTGGGTGAGAGAAAGGCAGCCCTCACCTGCCAATTTGTTGATTTGACTGCCTTCCTCTCTCAGTGGTTGGTATGTAGACCCTGGCTCTAAGCTTTGCTAATCAGTTCCCCCATAGCCACTTGCCCAGCCCTGTGTGCCCTTCAGGGCTTGCTGTAATGGCTTGGGTAAGGTAGAGCCCACTTGGTTAGCCCTTGTATCTGAGCAGCTGCTGGCCTGGTTGTGGAAAGAGTGAGGCAAGGGTTTTTGTTTGTTTGTTTTTAAATAAAGTCTGATGGTTTTTCAAGCGAAATGAAGAAAAAAGGGCCCTGGGAAAAGTCAGCTCTGTCAGAGAGGAGAGAAATTTCATCTCATTGCCAGGCCAGGCCAGAAGAATTCAGAAAGGTTTCACAGAGGAGATTCCTTTTTGACAGTGCCTGAAGGACAGGTTCAAATGGGGGTTGGCCACTCTGCAGAGGTAAAGGCCTGAGGGAGAGGAGATGGAGGTAGAAGGGCATAGGGCTGAGCCCAAACACTGGGCATGGGACAGTGAGCCTTGCATGTCACGGTGTGCAGTGCACACTGCAGACAGCTCTGACTACCTGGGCTGGCACAGTGAGTCCCATGAGGGACAGACTGAGGAGGAAGCTGAAACGCATGGCTGTTAACCAACTTTCCAGGATCACACTGCCGTTGAGCCAAGATGAGATCAAGTTCATCTGAATCCAGAGTCTCGGCTTCAAAACACGATGCTGTCCTGCCGGTGCTGGGGAAAGAACAAGCGCTAGCAGCTGAGAGGTGGGCAGATAGCATATGTCCTGGGCTTGGAGCATCCCATGGTGAGGGGCGCAAGGAGGAGGGCCAGAGGCATGCCTGTTGTACTCCTCTCTGTAGAAAGGCATGCGCAACAGGGGGGCAGGTGGGACCTGGCACTGCTAGTTTGGCAGAGTCAGTGGCTGTTTTTTGCAGCCTAATGGTTTCTGAAAGCTGTTTGCTCAGCCGAGGCCCAAGTGTGACTTCCCCCATCTGAAATGCTGTGGCAATCGCTGTTTTTCCTGGAAAATTGGGCCCATGTGGGCTCCGTGTGTGGTTTATTTGAGTTCCATTTTTACAGCCTTATTACCTTGTCCCCATGATGCAAGAAGCCTCTCTCTCTCTCTCTCTCTCCCTTCTCAAGCTTTGCGGTGAAAATTGTTTCTTAAAAGGCACAAAGTGATCTCTCATTATTTGGGAGGCGCTCCCCACAGCAGCCCTCGCCTGCCGACTTGCAGCGTGCTTCTCACTGTGCCTGCCGCTGCGTGTCGTGTTTCTCAGCCCTGTGGCAATTGACTGAGAATTTTTAGGCAGCTCTCACATCTCACCCTCTGGGTGTTGGCCCTGATTTGTTCCGGGAGAACCTGTGTACGCTCATGTCTGTTCAGCTGCTCCCTCTCGACCTGCTGCTCTAACCGACGCTGCCAAGGTGGTGATTGAGTCCCACAGCTCAGCCTTGGCCTCAGACCTTGAGCTGACTGCAGAAGCAGAGTGGGTATGGAGCCTCGCCTGAGGGACTTAGGTTCATGATCTCAGTTATTCTCCCAACTTACAGACCAGGAGAAGTGAGCCTAAAGAGGGATCAAGCAAGTCTTTTCTGTCCTTGGCTACCCAAGCTCCATTCACTCCTGCATTCAGCACTACATGATTCTCTACAATGTGCTGGGAGCTGTTTTAGACCCATCATGAAGGGAGGATAGACAAAAGTTCTTCCTTTTGATTTATATTCTTATTCTAATGGAGAAAACATAATGATGACAAATGCACACTGCAGTGTGGCAGTGAGAATATAAAGCGAGGAGCTCAGCTAAAAAGTATCAGGAGCATTTTAAGCAGGGTGGTTGAAGAATGCCTCATTGAGAAGGGAGCCAATTGGTACATCACGCACATTGCAAATCTCAGCCCATCGACACAGTTTCATTTTATTTTGTGTACTGAGAAGTCCTAGCGTTGCTGCCCTGGGTTAGCAGGAAGCTTTTCCTGAACAGTCAGAACAGTCAGAAGCAAGCACATGTTCCTCTCACCCACCGGTCAGGGTGGATAATGAAGTGTAGCTGTGTGCCCTCCTGAGAAAGGAAGTGGATTCTGGTGAGCTTGTTGTGATGTGTGTCCCAGGGAATGAGGCACCAACGTGTGCTATGTGCTCAGCTTTTGGGGAAGATGAAGACTGCCAGTGTGGCTGGAGTGCTGTGGGGAGGAGAAGGCGAGGACAGAGAAGTAACTGGAAGCAGGTGGTTGGTGTCATTGGAAGAACTCAGATGTGTTGAGAGCGACAGACGACACCCAGAACGGGTCAGGCTTTGCCGTGGGTAGCAGGATGGGAGAAAAGAGAGGCATGAAGATCGTTCTGAAGCTTTGGCTTTTACTTAGTGACTGTTGTCTTACTTCCTATCCTTTCTAAAGCATAGACAGTTTTCACTCGTAAGTAAACCTGCCCACAGAGGGTGGGCACCGCGGTTCCCTGTCCCACACGTGGCAGTGAGGGATCTCACGTCCTCCGCTGGGGTCTTCAGGTGGAGGGGTCCAATATGCTCTCTGCGATCCCTGCTGTCTGCAATCACTGACAAATAAACCATGAGTGCGTAGGAGTGGGAGTGAACTTGGTCCTACCAAGGCTGACTTTTAAAGGGTAATGACCTCACTAGATGCATGAAGTCCATCTTGAAAAGAGTAGACCATGAGCTGTCTAGGCAAATACTGCGTGCCTACTGTGTGCTGGGCAGTTAGCCTCTTGGTAACAGACAGACTCGTGTGTTTAAACCGTAGAATGATTAGTTTTTTTTTTTCTTTAGCAGTTGTGAATGGAATTGTAGTTTTAATTTTAGTGTCCTTATGTTCATTGCTAGTCTATGGAAAATTAATTGATTTTGTATTTTATCTTGTACCCAGCATCCTTGCTAAACTCACTAATTAATTCTAGGCATTGTTTTGCTTATTCCCGAGGATTTTTTACATAAATAGCCATATCATGTTCAGATAGGGGTTGCTTTCCACTCAGTGCTACTTCCTCCCCCCCTTGTTGCCCTGCTGTGCTGGCCTGGACTTCTGACACCCTGCTGAATGAGTGCTGAGAGGGGATTTTGCCTTGCTTCCAGTTGTAGGGGAGGAGCATTCAGCCTTCACCAACAAGTGTCCTGGGAGCTGGAGATTTGTTGTAGATGTCACATGCACTCTGCTGATGTGTGTGCAGGTAGAATCATGGTTAAAATAGAGTGCCTATTGTCTGCATGTGTTCTGTCCTCCCACAGGAAGGTTTTGATAGGACATTTTCTGTGTTGGTGTTTCCAGTGTGCTACTTTTTAAAGTCTGGGAAGCAGGAGGTGAAAAGAAAATATAGGAAGCTGGCCTCGTGTTGTTCCTTGGGTACTGAGGTCCTTGAACTGATCTGCCTTTTCTGCTCTCGTTTTCATTATGTGATATCTGGGGGGTTTGAGTGATGCTTTACAGGTAGAATAGGGAGAAGTAGGTCAACTCCTTCTTCTTAGAGGTGGAAGTGTTTGGGAGAAGTGTAGAGGTTTAGGCTGGAGTTACTCTGCGAAGGGCCTTAGAGAGTAAGGGTTTGACTCTGCAGGTGGTGGCAGGGCTGTTAGGGGCTCACTCTGCCTGCAGTATGGAGCAGTGATTGGTAGGGACTATGGTAGAGAAAGCAGGACGCCTGCTGAGGGTGCAGAGCTAGGGCAGAAACCAGGAAGACAAATCCATGTGGCAGGGAGGAGAGGTACAAGGAAACTAGGTTGGGAAACCACCTGTGAGATGAGAAATGCAGAGAGGGATGGAGGGGTGCAACAGAGGAGCACCTTGTAGCTGTCCTCAGACACATCTGGAAAACTACCCTGAGAGTGCTTCCCTTCAGGAAAGGAGCCCCTGAGAAGTCTGGCTGCTGGGGGATAAGCCAAGGAGCATGTTGGGCAGAGGAAGCATGGGGGTCGAGGGGAAGGCAAAGACACAGGGATTGGCATGGAGGACTTTTTGGGCCTTTGGTTAGTGCAGGCAAAAGTGGGCAGGATGCTGTAGGAGTTAACCAAAGGAAGAAGTCTGGACTCAGAGTGGACACTGCAGTTTGTCCATCAGGTTCCTTGCTTTCTGTTCTGTGTGTTGGTTTCAGGCTTTCCTATTGCAGAGGCAGACTGTCTTTCCGGTGGATACCCAGCTCCTGACAGCCTCAGCGTACAATCGCAGTGAAAGGATAGCTCCCTTCTCTGGGTTGTGTATCATTTCCAGAATGGGGCTCTTTTTGGCTCAGCTTCAGCGATTTGCCTGTCCCTTGACCAATGATTGTAGTCAAGGAGGGGATGCCCTGATATGGGCTGGATTATGTGCCCATATCTGCTGGTCCACACAGAGCTTTTATATGAAGACAGAGGGGGCTTGGTGTTGTGACCTAGTGGATAAAGCCACTGCTTGCAGCACTGGCATCCCATGTGGGTGCTGATTCATGTCCTAGCTGCTCCACTTCTGATCCAAATTCCTGCCAGTGCATCTTTGGAAGCAGTAGAAAATGGCCAAGGGCTAGGACCTCTGCACCCATATGGGCACAGTTTCAGACTCCTGGCTTCAGCCTGGCCACTGCAGCCATTTTGGGGAGTAACCCAGCAGATGGAAGATCTCTTTCATTCTGCCTTACATATAAATAAAATATTTATAAAATAAATTATAAAATTTTATTATAGTTTTATATATTTATAAGCTTATTATAAATAATTTATTAAATGAGTTATATCTATTATATCTATATGTGTGTATCTATCTGTCTATTTAATATAAAAAGACTACCCAGGATGGAACCATATTGTAACAGGCTATGTAGAGTCAATAATATAATAGCATAAGAACATAGAAAAATTTTTAGCAGAAGGGCTTATTCAAAGTTGAGTTTTATTGTTAATTTTTTTTTTTTTTTTGAAAAGCAGAGTGACAGAGAGGGAGTGATAGGCAAATCTAGCCGTTGGTTCACTCCCCAGTTGCCTGCAAATACAGGGCTTAGCAAAGCCAGAGTCAGGTGCCAGGAACTTCATGCAGCTGTCCTACACAGCTGGCAGGAACCCAAGGGCCTGAGCTGTCCTCTGTTGCCTCCCAGGCACATTAGCAGCAAGCAGGATTGGAAGCGAAGGCAGGAATTGATCCCAGGGACTCAGATATGGAATGCAGCCTCACAAAGCCGTGGCTTAACTGCTATACCACAGTGCCTGCCCCACAGTTTGGTCTTATTGAAACCGTTGCAGGTAGTGTACAGACTTGTGGTGCAAAGTGAGTGAGTGGAGGTGGTGACACTGGTTGTGGGAGGCAGCTGCCAGAGCTCAGTGGAGGGCTGCTGAGACCAGAGCTGAGTAGAATTTGTACTTCACCCACAGCCACAGCATCAGGGAGGTGCAAGACAGTGATGGAGTCTGGAGACAAACAGGTAATCAAGACTGAATGACCAACTGGAGACAGGAAGAAGAGGAGTTGAAGGAGGAGTCCCAACCCCCTCTCCCCCACTACCAAGTGGAAAGTAGCTTTCCTTTCTTGGAGAAATGAGATAATAGGAATTAATTGGGACTGTAACCAGGGAAATAGCTGGATGAGAGGACACTGACCCAAAGATGCTGCTGTGTTTCTAAGCCCAGCCATCCCTGTGGCATGAACCTCACTGGGAAGCTTTTCAGGGGATTTAAGCAAAGAAATGACATGAGTTGATGCATGTTAGAGCAGATTTCCTTCTCAATTAACACTAGCCTTTGGGTGGAGGTGGGAGTGGCGTCAAGGGTAGAAGCAGAGACATATCAATTAGGAGGCTGTTGCAATAATCCAGGATGGTACTGGTGGAGGAGGTGAGAAACGGTCTTATTCCACATATATCTTGAAGGAGAACAAGCAGTTTTGCTGAGTATTGGTGGTGGAGGAAGAGGGAGAGAGAAATGAGACTGATTTCTAACCCTTTGGTCCGGGCACCTGCAAACACCTAATCTTCAGCTGAGATGGATGAGACACTGTGGGGAGGCCAGGGGGTTCAAGTAGAGTGCAGCCCAACATGCCCTACTGAGATGAGCTCCTGTCAGCTTGACTGACACTGCTTGACACTGACAGCTGGGTATATCAGTCGAGAGTTCACAGGAGAGAGCTGAGCTCAGCACAAAGGTGGTGTTCGATTCTTAAGATCAGGACACATCTCCAAGGGAGTGACCAAAGGGGTGCAGACCAGAGAGGAGAGCCAAGCTGGCCCTGGGGCAGAAAGGTGAAAAACCAACAAATGAGGGGGCAGAAACTGGAGAGAGTCCTGTTCTAGAAGCAGAGTAGGGAGAGGAGTGGAACTGAGGACAGTTCATTGATGTCAGATGCTATAAGGTGAGAATTCAGGGGTGATCAGTGGATCTAGCAACACGGAGGGCAGGCCACACGTGAGCGTTTGGACCTATGTTTAACCTTGCAAAAAAAAAAATGTCATATTTCTTGCCCTGAAGGAAAATATAATGGAGGACAGGAAGGGAGATAATTTGAGATTAAAATAAGTGTGAACAGAATGTAAAGATAGTACCGTGGGAGTTCAGCAGAAGGGGACCATACTCCCAGCTTTTGTGTGGAGGATGGAGTCAGATTCATTTGTGGCATCACTCATTCATTCATTCTGCAAAGATTTATTCGATTTCAAGGACTGGAGGCAAAAGGGAGGGAGGAAGAGTTGTTTAATGGTTGTGGAGTTTCCGTTCTGCAGGTGAAAGAGTTCTGGAGAGAGGTAGCGGTGATAAGCATTGCACAGTAGTGCGAAGGTACCTAATATTTGGCATAAAAATGGTTATGTTGTAACTCTGTTGGATTTTTGCCACAATTTAAGAAGAACAAATGGGGAAAACAGTATTTGGGTCCCCACCACAAACTTGTCCAGTGCTGGAGAAAATGTGGAGAAAAGCAGAGATGGACATCTAGCCAGAGGGAGTGCTGAGTGGGGAGTGCACGTCTGGGGACTGTCAGTCCTGCCTGTCTGCATGGTGGGGTCCATGGGGGAACCCTGTGTGCTGAGGCTGCCGAGTCAGGCTAGGCCAGTTGGTGCAGGCCTGGCATTCTGGCTACAGAGCTGGACTTGCCCTCTTGGAAAATCGGAGCCTCTCAAGGTTCCAGCCCTGGGGATTATCATCCAAGATGTGTGCATTTAAATTAATCTCATTAGCCCTTCTCATCAAACTATTGCCTACTAAAAGTAATAGGATTAAGGTGTGCATTTCCCTGGTGTAATGTGTGGGCAAGCAGAATTATAGATGCCGAGGCCCGTGTTAATGAATTGAACAGGTTGTTTTTCCAGTGATTTTACAAATGTGTTTTTTCCCCAGTTTGAATATATGATTTAAGGCAGAGTCTCTCTCTCACACACACGCACACACAGAATTCTTCATCCATTGGTTCACTCCCCAAATGCCTGCATCAACCAGGGATAGACTGGGCTGAAGCAGGAGCCTGGAACGCCATCCACGTTTCCCACTGTGTGTGGCAGGAACCCAAGCACTTGAGCAATCATCCGCTTTCCTTCCCAGGTTCACTAACAGGAAGCTGTGAGAGAAGTAGAGGAACTGGAACTTGAACCTGCACTGAGATACGGGATGCCAGCATCATAATCAGTGGTGTAACCCACTGTACTTTGAGGCCTACTGCTACAGATGTTCATTGAGGGCCATCTAAATGCCTTCATGTTCCAGGCAATGGGGGTTAGGGAGGCAGTGAATTTAGCAGGCCTTACTTTGAAAAAAATCTCTAGACAAATTAGGTTCCTTTTGCTTCATGTGCTGTGAGTTACCATAAACATATTACCAAAGTTTCTAAGAGAAGAGAGGAAGGTACTGGCTCTCTTGAGGCATTACTGAGATTCTGAGGGAAGACTGTTCAGTGGACTTACCAGCTAATCAGGGCGAAGCAGGAGAGATGGATATCCTGGAGGATGCAAGTCAAAACTTTTTGAGCATCGTGAATTTAAAGAAAACATAACCATTCTCTTGTAAAGCTAAACTCTAATCTTATTGGCTTTTAGGTGGTGCTGGCTAGAGTGCATGCTTTTGGGCTCAACCTTGACTTTTCAAATGTGGAAGTCTAGGCTTTCAATGGTAAGTTTGATGACTTTTTTTAAAAAATGGATTATACTGTTGAAGATTGGTATTTGGAATGGAGAAAGCCAAGTAGTTTTGATCGACAAATGCCCTGTGATGACCATGTGTGATCTTTAGAAGACTGTGTGGTATAGGCCAAGAGCATTGGTAGGAGAAGGGAGGTTCCCTCCAGGTTTCTGTGTTGGGCACAGGGGGTAGGTGTGGTTGGTGCAGAAGACCTCATGGAGAGGTGGAGCTTTGTTGGTTTTTTGAAGAAAAAAGCAGACTGGAAAAAAGTCCAAGGAGGAATGAAATAAGATTTTTGAGGTTTGGCAACTTTGAGGGTAAGGTGAGTTCAGTTACAGGCCAATAGGAGCAAAAGCTTCCTCTGAGGAGTCACGGACAAGGGCTTTGACTGGATCTGTTGGCATCTGGTGATGATTCTGTCCCAGGGTCAGGGAACTCTGTCATAGACTTTCAGATACTCCATATACTTGACTTCGTAGGCAGTGTGGGCTCTGTTGCATTGCAACTATTCAACTCTTTGCTGGTAGCATGCATTAGCACTGTGCTGGTAGCACTAATTAGCCATAGTTGATATGTAAGTGAATGAATGAGCTGTGTGCCAATCAAACTACTCACAGAAATGGCCAGCACACCAGATTTAGCCTGGATGCTCTAGTTGACCACTCCTTTGCTGGACCGTGACTGCTGAGCTGAGGCATTTAGGCTTTATCTTGAATAACAGTGGGAAGTCATTGGAGTTATTTTGCCGTAGAAATAAAATGACAGAAATGACACTTTGGGAACATTCATCTGGTGACTGGACAAGAGGTATGGGGCGTTGTGAGAAGGCAGAAGCAGCAGTGTAGTCCAGAGGACATGTGGCTAATGGTGTTTAAAGTGGAAGCAAAATGCCATTAGAAGAGGCTTTACAGAGGAAAGACCAATTGCAGTCATCTTTGATTTTAAAGACAGGATCCAGAAGATGAAAGTTTTAACTTGATGCTTCACAGTGGGGCCATTAGCAGAAATGTGGGTGTTGAGAATGTCGAAAGGTAAGTTGATGCATCTAGTTTTAAGATGCATTGAGTTTGAGACAACAGTGGATTGTCTGTAGGAAATGTCCAGTAGATGTTGGAAATGCAGGGCTAAAGCTGGACTGGGGAGGCTAAGTGTGGAAGCCACAGGATTCAATGGGTTCTCCCCATGGTGAGTCTAGGGCTGGGCCTTGGGAAATATGTATACTGTCAGACTAGAAGGGAGATCGTAGAGGAAACCCAGAGGCTATGGAGGAGCAAAGGAAAAAAGACAAAAGGATGGGATGGTATAGATGTGCGAAGAAGGACTGAAAGAAAGTGGGTGAATTTGTGACAAGATCTTAACAACTGATCCCAAAGAAAGTAATGTCCCAAGGGAGAAAGTTGGGGAAGCCAGGTTGCATAGGAAGAAACATAATGAAGGATAAAAAATAGAGCACTCAGAGTTTGTGTAGTAAAAAGGAGACAGATAGGCTATGGTTGTTTGTCAGTTAAGCTTTTCTTTAGCTCTCAAGCAGGCAAAGCATGCTGTGACCAGTTCTCATTTTGAGAGTTGTTGTGTACATTGGGCTTGTGAGTGTGTTCTTAGGCACTTGTGGAGGTGTGGTGTCCTTCACTCTGTCACAACTTGCAGCGCAGAATCCAGCCCATGTTTGGATTTCTGCCATGAAGACAAGATGTGATCTGTTGGGGAGATAGTTGCATTTGCGTAAATTGGAAGAGGAAATGGAATAAATCAAAAATTGCAATAAAACTAGCTGCAGAGTCCATACAATGGTAATAGAAATGAAATTTGAGACAATTTCTTCTTCATTGACTGTATATCACTAGGTTCTGAGTATGTCAAGGGTGTGTTCCTTGGTCTGAATTCTAAGTGGTTTTTGGCTTGGCTTGTGTGAAAATAAAAATCTGGCAATAAAAGCACCAGGTGTGACTGGTTCACAGCCATCATGTGTTAAACACTCAGATAGTAAGTACAGCATGCAGTGCCCTATGTATCATTTCATTTCATCTTTGCAATAACCAGTGACAGGAAACTTAGCTTTCCTATTTCAGCAGTATTAGGACCAAGTAGTGGGGCCTGGCATGATGGCTTAATGGCTAAATCCTCACCCTACAAGTACTGGATTCCCTTTTGAGTGCCAGTTTGTGTCTTGGCTGCTTTACTTTCCTTCCAGTTTTCTGCTTGTGACCTAGGAAAGCAGTAGAGGATGGCCCAAAGCCTTGGGGTCCTGCATCCAAGTGGGATACTCGAAGGAAGCCCCTACCTCCGGGCTTTGGCTTGGCTCAACTCTGGCCAATGAATGGAGGATCCATCTCTCTCTCTCCTCTCCATAAATCTGATGTGCCTTTCCAATAAAAATAAATAAATCTTTAAAAAAAGAGAGAGAAAGAAATCAAGTTGTGAAGAAGTGTAATAACCTTCCCGAGGATTTGAACCCAGTTCTGGATTGTCCCTGGCTTGTACTGCTCACTCTTGTCTTTAGCCAAGTCTGGAGTTTTCCTGCCTTCTCCAGGTTAATTACTTAGAGCCATGGTGGTTGTTTCTACTACTTTGGAGTTTGTGAAAAGGGTAGAAGAAACATGGGAAGGTGGGAATGGACTAAGAACAGAATGAACCTCAGACACTATTTCTTCTGATGAAACTTTCCTTTACTTGGAGAAGATAACAGCCTTGAGCTGGGAAAAACAGTATCACTAGAAGGTATGTGGTTTGGATTCCAGTCCCAGTTACATATGGCACTGGCAATGTAATTTCTATTTAAACATCTGATATTTCTCTCCATTCACCTCCACCTTCAAACTGCAGAGACAGGGTTTGTTTTATTGTTTTGATCATCATAGTCCCAGCAAGCAGCAGAGAAGTGGGCGTGTAGTATACAATGTGCTCCATAGTTATTTGTTTCTATGAACCAAAAGACTTGGGACAGGGTGCTTATAAGATGGGCCAGGCGGGCCTGGCGCAGTGGCACAGTGGTTAAAGTCCTCGCCTTGCATGCCCGGGATCCCATATGGGTGCCGGTTCTAATCCCGGCAGCCCCGCTTCCCATCCAGCTCCCTGCCTGTGGCCTGGGAGAGCAGTCGAGGACGGCCCAAAGCTTTGGGACCCTGCACCCGCGTGGGAGACCTGGAAGAGGCTCCTGGCTTTGGATCAGCATAGCATCGGCCGTTGCGCTCACTAGGGGAGTGAATCATCAGACGGAGGATCTTCCTCTCTGTCTCTCCTCTCTGTATATCCACCTTTCCAATAAAAAAAATAATGAAAATAAATCTTTAAAAAAAAAAGATGGGCCAGGCACTGATCTTGACACTGTAATCATGGAGGTGACCCCAGACAAGGTCTCTGTTATTATGAAGCAAATGTTCTAGATGGATAAGAAGTACAATGTGATGCTAGGCATGATCGTGTTTGGAAGTCAAATAGGGTGAACTTGGGAGTGGAGAGTGATGAGGCTGATGGAGTAATTCGGTGGTCAGGCAGGGAGACGGTGGGCCTTGTTAGGGGGGAATCCCTGGGAGTGTTCTTTGAGGTCCCTGCCAATTTGTCAGCTACTGTGTTTCACAGTGGTCATTGCTTGTAGCTTACTCCTCCTTGCTCCCCCCCATGAGGTCCCTCTTCAGGCTGCATCTGCTTGGGGCATTCTTGACATTCCCTTCCTAAGTGGACACTCAAGTGCCTTGCCTCTCCTGGCTTCTATCACCAGTTCACTACTGTCTCACACCCTGGACTGCACGGCATGCTTTACCAATTCTCTTGGTCTTTAGCTTGGTCTTTTACATCGTCCCTGTTGTTCTGCCCAGGTGCGTTCGCGTACTGCTCACCTCCATAAAGAAGTCCTGCCTTTCTGTACCTGCCCCGTGGGCACCTCCAGCTCTCCCTCACTTCGCCCAGACCAAGTGCCATGTATGCCTTGTTCCCTGTGTCACCTGTCTTGATCTTCACCACTCAGTTGTGCCTTCTTAAGGACTCATCCTTCCTTGTCTTGCTTTTTTCCTGAGCTGTCATGCCCCAGTGGCATCTAATTCGCCAGCCCAGTCTTTCTCTCTGTCCCTTTGTTCAGGATTCAGCATCTGTGTTTGTTTTACAACAGCCTCACAAGTGCTCATCCCCAGGTCCACCTTTTGCTTCCCTCATTCCATTTCCCACATGCCTGCCAGTGGATGTAACTGCAAGTCTGACCCTAGCTTTCTTCTGCTTAAAATGCTCCACAAGGTCCTCATTTGCTTGTACAAGAAAAGCAAAGCCCTTTAGCCATCTTGCAGTCAGTTCATAATCTGGCCTTTGGCCACTTCTTTTCATTTCCTTTTTCCCTGACTCTAACCTTAACCCAGGCACCAACAGTCGTCCCTGCTGTGTATGTTTTTTTCCCAGGCTGGATCCTCCCCTAGGAATGACCTGGCCACTGCTCCCTAGCAGATAACTCGGCTGCATGTTCCCCTTGCTCTTCTGCATACCTTTCTTCCTCACCCTACTCCCCTCAGTGACCTGGAGGTGCCCTCCTGTGATTCCCAGAACACCCTGCAAAGCACTTATCAGTGGAACTGTTGATTTACTTATCTCTTGTGTTCAGTAAACTGAGCTCCTTAAGGGTGCAGAACAAACACACACACACATACACTCTCTGTGTTCCCTGTGCCAGCACAATGCACCTGGCTTGGGAAGTGTTGTTGAAAGAGTGAGGGTAGCAAAGTCTGTTTGTGCAGCCAAACAACAGATTTGTAACATGATCAAATGTTCTTGAAGTTGGAGATTGATTGGCCATTGAGTTCACGTCTCTTCACAGCTCTGAGTACAGGACAGGTTGTTCGGGGCTTGGGTTTGTGATTGCCTGTTGTGTTGCCAGCATATGGAGCTTCAGGAATGTCCCTTGTCCATATTCTTTATCACTGACTTTTTTCCCCTGTTGGCTGATGAAATAATTGAGAGTTGAAATGGAAAATAAGGCATCAAGGAATTCTCAAGAATGAGGTCCACCC